GCGGGCCCCAAGTCGGCCCATAGAGGCCCCCCAAACGGCTTCCGACGGCTTCAGACGTGCCAGGAACCCACCAAGATGGCCGAAGTTGGCTCGAAGCTGGCCCGAGACGGCCCAAAAAGCCCCAAAGATCGCCCAAAGCTTGCCCAAGAGGCCTCCAAGACGGCCAAGATGACCTTCAAGATGCCCACGTGTTCCCCGAAGGCTTTCCAAACCGATTCGGGGAACACGTGGTCCGATAGCTTGGCAGGTCTGGCCTCAACGTTCGGCCACATAGGCGCTTCCAAAAAGGCAGGGGGCGGCGGTGATTCGCCGTAGGCGTCTTCGATAAAGAGAGGAAGGACAAGGGCGAAGAAGGATCACATCAGTCGGAGCGCCCCGGATCGGCGGCACTGGCCGAAGGCCACTACAATATCGAGGTTTCCTTAAAGGCAGTAAAATTCCAAGAGCACGATCTGCGTGAGGGGTGGCGAAAAATTGCCTTCGTCCTCACAAGTGAAATCCGCCGGCCCCCTTCGACTTCGTAATTTATCGCACAAGAATTCTGCCGGCCCCCTTCAAGTAAAAACCGTGGGGAATACCATCTAAAAGAGAACCCTGGGCTCGAGCCCTTTCGGGGAAAAACCGGGGGGAAGACCATCTAAAAGAGAACCCTGGGCCCACGCCCTTTCTGGGAAAAACAAACGAATTAATCGAGACATCCTCGAAATTCCTGCGCGCGGGACGCGGCACGCGCGAAACATCATCGGAATTCCTGCGCGCGGGGCGCTTTTCCGCGTCGCGGTCGGCTCTGCAAAACCAGCGATTCGCTCGAGACATCCTCAACAAATTCTGAAAACAAGCGTTTCGCTCGAGACATCCCCAACTCTGCAAATCCAGCGTTTCGCTCGAGACATCCTCAACAAATTCTGAAAAACAAGCGTTTCGCTAGGGACATCCTCAAAAATAATTCCGCCGGCCCTCTTCCCGCACGTAATTTATCGCAAAATAATTTCGCCGGCCCTCTTCCCGTCGAAACCGGGGGTAAACCCACTAAAAGAGAACCCTGGGCTCGAGCCCTTTCCGGGAAACATGATGGACCCACGAACCCGGAAAGGGATATAGACATGTGGAGCATGGGCACGTTTTCACGATACCCAACGGGGCAACACCTCACGAAACATCCCACGAGACACCTCACGAAACATCCCACGAGACACCTCACGAAACATTCCGCGAGACACCTCACGAAACATTCCAGGAGACACCCCGCGAAACATTCCACGAGACACCCCACGAAACATTCCACGACGACAGGCAACCACTCAACCAAGGCGGTGTGGTCGTGCTGGGGAGTGGTCGTGCTGGGGTGTGGTCGTGCTGGGGGGTGGTCGTGCTGGGGGGTGGTCGTGCTGGGGGGGTGGTCGTGCTGGGGGGTGGTTGTGCTGGGGCGTGGTCGTGCTGGGGCGTGGTCGTGCTGGGGCGTGGTCGTGCTGGGGTGTGGTCGTGCTGTGGTGAGGTCGTGCTGGGGTGTGGTCGTGCTGGGGTGTGGTCTTGCTAGGGTGGGGTCGTGCTGGGGTGGGGTGCTGGGGTGTGGTCGTGCTGGGTGGGTGCTCGTGCTGGGGTGGGGTCGTGCTGGGGTGTGGTCGTGCTGGGGTGTGGTCGTGCTGGGGTGTGGTCGTGCTGGGGGGTGGTCGTGCTGGGGTGTGGTCGTGCTGGGGGGGTGGTCGTGCTGGGGGGTGGTCGTGCTGGGGCGTGGTCGTGCTGGGGCGTGGTCGTGCTGGGGCGTGGTCGTGCTGGGGTGTGGTCGTGCTGTGGTGAGGTCGTGCTGGGGTGTGGTCGTGCTGGGGTGTGGTCTTGCTGGGGTAGGGTCGTGCTGGGGTCGGGTCGTGCTGGGGTGTGGTCGTGCTGGGGTATGGTCGTGCTGGGGTGGGGTCGTGCTGGGGTGGGGTCGTGCTGGGGTCTGGTCGTGCTGGGGTGTGGTCGTGCTGGGGTATGGTCGTGCTAGGGTGGGGTCGTGCATTTCGCTCGAGACATCCTGCCAAAATTCCAGGAAATCGTACAAAAACAAAGGAATTAGTCGAGACATCATCGAAATTCCTTCGCGCGGGGCGCTTTTCCGCGTCGCGGTCGGCTCTGCAAAACAAGCGTTTCGCTCGAGACATCCTCGGCAAACTCTGCGGAGCAAGCGTTTCGCTCGAGACATCCTCAACACACGAAAAAGTGGCCCGCACCCTGTGATTTATCGATCGGGATTTCAAAAACAAGCGTTTCGCTCGAGACATCCTCAAATTTTAATTCGCCGGCCTCCTTCGACCTCGTTATTTATCAGGGAAAAAATTCGCCGGCCTCCCTCAAGTTGGCACCGGGGGACAGGTTTACCTACTAAAAGAGAACCCTGGGCCCGCCCTTTCCGGGAAAAACATGATGGACCCACGAACCCGGAAAGGGATATAGACATGTGGAGCATGGACACGTTTTCACGATACCCAACTGGGCAACACCTCACGAAACATCCCACGAGACACTTCACGAAACATCCCACGAGACACCTCACGAAACATTCCACGAGACACCTCACGAAACATTCCACGAGACACCCCGCGAAACATTCCACGAGACACCCCACGAAACATTCCACGACGACAGGCAACCACTCAACCAAGGCGGTGTGGTCGTGCTGGGGAGTGGTCGTGCTGGGGTGTGGTCGTGCTGGGGGGTGGTCGTGCTGGGGGGTGGGTGCTGGTGGGGGGGTGGTCGTGCTGGGGTGTGGTCGTGCTGGGGCGTGGTCGTGCTGGGGCGTGGTCGTGCTGGGGCGTGGTCGTGCTGGGGTGTGGTCGTGCTGTGGTGAGGTCGTGCTGGGGTGTGGTCGTGCTGGGGTGTGGTCTTGCTGGGGTGGGGTCGTGCTGGGGTGGGGTCCTGCTGGGGTGTGGTCGTGCTGGGGTGTGGTCGTGCTGGGGTGGGGTCGTGCTTGGGTGGGGTCGTGCTGGGGTGTGGTCGTTCTGGGGTGTGGTCGTGCTGGGGTGTGGTCGTGCTAGGGTGGGGTCGTGCTGGGGTGGGGTCGTGCTGGGGTGTGGTCGTGCTGGGGTGTGGTCGTGCTGGGGTGTGGTCGTGCTGGGGCGTGGTCGTGCTGGGGTGGGGTCGTGCTGGGGTGGGGTCGTGCTGGGGTGTGGTCGTGCTGGGGTGGTCCGCACCCTGTGATTTATCGATCGGGTCGTGCTGGGGTGTGGTCGTGCTGGTGCTGGGGTGTGGTCGTGCTGGGGTGTGGTCGTGCTGGGGTGTGGTCGTGCTGGGGTGTGGTCGTGCTGGGGTGTGGTCGTGCTGGGGCGTGGTCGTGCGTGCTGGGGGTGTGGTCTGCTGGGGGTGTGGTCGTGCTGAGGTGTCCCGCACCCTGTGATTTATCGATCGGGATTTCAAAAACAAGCGTTTCGCCTGAGACATCCTCAAATTTTAATCCGCCGGCCTCCTCCGACCTCGATATTTATCAGGGAAAGAATCCGCCGGCCTCCTTCAAGTCGGGCACCGGGGACATGTTTACATACTAAAAGAGAACCCTGGGCCCACGCCTTTTCCGGGAACAATCATAATCGTTTTAGGGCTCTGGGGCTATGAGGCTGTAGGGTGTACTGGCATTTGGGTGGAACCGCATGCGAACCCTGTCGCTGGAGTCTTTTGATGAGCTCCCTATGGGGCCAAGAACCGTGCGAGGGATGTGCCAAAATATGCGGGGAACCGCATGTGAACCCCTGCCACTGGGACTTTCCCTGGAGCTCCCCATGGGGCCACTAAACGTGTGCGGGGTGTGCTGAAATGGGTGTGGAACCGCTTGCGAACCCTACCACTGGGGCCTTCGGTGGACCTCCCGAAACGTGCGATTGGCGCTCGATTTTCCACTGGGGCTTTCGCGTGGAACTCCCCATGGGGCCACGAAGCGTGTGAGGGGTGTGCCGAAATCGGAGTGGAACCGTTTGTGAACCCTGCCACTGGGGCCTGCGGTGGAACTTCCGATGGGCCCCCGAAACATGTGAGCGGTGTGCCGAAATTGGGGGGGGAACCGCATGTGAGCCTCTTACTTGGGCTTTCGGTGGAGGGGGCCACGAAGCGTGCGAAGGGCGTGCCGAAATAGGAGTGGAACCGCATGCCAACCCTGCCATTAGGGCCCTTCGGTGGAGCTCCCTATAGGGTCACGAAGCGTGTGATGGGTGTGCCGACATTGGCGTGGAAACGATTGCAAACGCTGCCGTTGGAACCTTGGCTGGAGCGGGATGATGATGATGATGATGATGATGATGATGATGATGATGATGATGATGATGATGATGATGATGCAGATGATCATGATGATGATGATGCTGATGATGAAGATGCTGCTGCTGATGATGATGATGCTGATGGGGAGGATGATGCTGCTGATGATGATACTTATGATGCTGCTGCAGCAGATGCTGCTGATGATGATGATGTTGACGATGCTGATGTTAATGATGCTGTTGTTGCTGGTGCTGGTGATGACGATGACGACCACGACGACGACGCCGACGACGACGTCGATGATGACTGAGGCTGATGCTGATGCTGATGCTGATGATGATGCTGATGCTGATGATGACGATGATGATGATGATGATGATGATGATGATGATGATGATTGTGGTGTTGAAGATGCTGATGGTGATGCTGATATGAGCATGATGCTGATGATGGTTATGCTGATGGTGGTGATGTTGCTGATGATAGCGGCATGCGGAGAGCAGGACCAGGCTGGGAGGAGAGGGGAGGAACAAGGAAGGACGGAGTGACGAGGGGCCTTCTCTTCACAACGAGGACCCAACACCACAGGTTGGTTGGTAACACATTATTGTGGGGACCTGTGATGGAAGAACTTAAAAGGAGGGTGTATGGCAACATCGTCGGTGCGTTTTAGGTTTGCATCGTCCTCTTCCTCCTCCCCCTCCTCCATCTCTCACTCCCACTCCCCCCCTGCTCCCCCATCCCATTCCACCAATAGGCGGGCGCTCGCTCGCCGCGAACTCGCGGCGGGCCGCCGCCGGGTCGCAGGTGCGCGAGGCCAGCAGCAGCTCCTCGGGGCCCCCAGCTCACGGAAGGGGAGGGGGAGGGGAGAACGGGGGGGGGCGGAGGCAGAAGGGGAAGAGGAGGGGGGAGGGAGGGAAGGAGGGCGGGGAGGATAAGCAGGAGGAGGAGGAGGACATGGCAGCATCCTGTCCAGATTCGAATGCTATCAGCGTCAGCATCAGGAAGAGAGGAATGAGGAGGACGAGGAGGACGAGGAAGACGAGGAGGGGGGAAGAGGAAGAAAAGGAGGAGGAAAAAGGAGGGAGGAGCCAGTCAGTCAGTCAACCTGTCAGTCAGTCAGTATGTTTGTTTGTCTGCCTGTCTCTGTTTCTGTCTGTCTGTCTGTCTGTTTATTTGTCTGTCTGTCTGTCTGTCTGTCTGTCTGTATGTCCGTCTGTCTGTCCTGATCATTCGAACACCACGCGTCACTCAGCTAACACAACTGTCTTGGGGCCGCGATTCTTCTCGCCTGATGCAATTCACTTGGAGCGATCACGCCCTTCAGAAGCCAGAAAATGATCCTGGCGAACGACCCAGCCTTGGGGTGGCGGCCGCGAAACGCGTGAGGGGTGTGCCGAATTGTGTGGGGAACCGCATGCGAACCCTACCACAAAGACACAAAAACTATCTGTGGAGCCCCCATACGGGGCCAGGGGCCGTGCGAAGGGTGCGCCGAAATGAGCGGGGAACCGCATGCGAACGTTGCCCCGCGGGGCCTTCGGCGGAGCTCCCTATGGGGGCCACGAAGCGCGCGGGAAGTGCCGAAACGGACGGGGAACCGCATGCGAGCCCTGCTAGTAGTGTCTTCGGTGGAGCCACGGAAAAAAAAGGGGGGGGGTGCTGGACTGGGCGGGGAACCGCGTGTTAAGCCTGCCAAGGAGGCCTTCTGTGGAGCTTCCACGAAACGTGTGACGGGTGTGCCGAAGTGGAGGGGGAACTGCAAGCGAACCCTGCCACTGGGGCCTTTCGTTTTACATCAAAGCGCGGAATTCGCTGCGCGCCCCGTCCGCGCGAGGCGCCAGGATCTCCGGCGTCACCAGGGGAGCCCCCGCGGAGCACCCTCCTGGCCGTTCCGACCCCCCAAACAAGGGCCAGGCCACCAAAGCCCCTCCCCTGTGTCCCGCCCGCCGCTGGGCCGAGGCTTACGCCTGCTCGACCGAGCAGCTGAGGTTTGCAATGTCACCTGGGGAGCCCACGCGGAGCGCCGCCCTGGCCGCGCCGACCCGTGAAAGGGCCACCCCACCGTAGCCACTCCCTCAGGGCCCTTGGCGGGACGCCCTACACGGCGCCTTCAGGCTTCCAGCTCACGGACTCCAGCATCCGCCGAAGGTCCGCGCTGAGCTGAGGCTCGTAGCCAGGCGCTTGGCGGAGGAGGCCGTCGGCGAGCTCGACGCACGCGCCAAGGCCGTCCGCCGAGGCCGCAACTCTGCCAGCAGCAGGCGCCGCCACCGCAGGTGCCGTGTCCAGCTCCGCCGCCACCTTCGCCCGAGCGCGCCGCGGCCCGCGCCGCCGCTGCGCAGCAGTGCCAGCCAGGCCGTCGCTCTCGAGGTCGCCGCCGAAGTCCAGCGCAGCAGCGGCCTCGCCGCTCTCCAGGGCCTCCTCCGCGGCCGCAGCGCCGCGTCGACGTCGATGTCGTCGCGGTCGTCGAGGCCGTCGCACAAGGGGGCCGCGCCAGCAGCCGCCCCTGCAAGCGCCGCGGCGGCACTCGCCGCCGCCTGCGCCCTCCAGGGAGCCTCCGCGCCATCCCCCAGGAGCCCCAGCCCGCCACCGCGAGCGCGCTCCTGTGCGCGCCGAGCTGAGCATCGTTCGCGTCGACGGCGGCGCCGCTCGCGCTTCGTCGCCGACGCCGCCCCGCGCCTCTCATCCTCGTCGTTCGTGCTCACACCGCCCGGCAAACCAGCGCCATCGCTCACACCGCCCGACAAACCAGCGACCGCGGCGGCCGCCGCGGCCACGGCCGCCCGCGCGCCTGCGCCGAGGGCACGACGCGGTGCTCCAGCAAGGTGCGCAACGTCCGCGGCGCGGATGGCTCCTCTATCGGAGGCCTGGAAATTGGCACCAACACCAAGACAGGGGGTTACCTCCACAGGGGGGAGGTGATCCTAGATTTTCGGTGTTGGTGGCAATAGTTCGGCCATCTTGGAAGCCAGAATATTCCCACCATCGCAGAGATCGGGTCAATCTCTAGGCCCGCGACTCTAGGCGCCGCCATCCCTGGTCGGCGGCGGCGACGGCCGCGCGGTCGTCTGAGCCAGAATGCCGCTGGGCCTCCGGTGGAGCTCCCTTATGGGGCCACGGACCGTCTGAGGGGTGTGCCGAAGTGGGCGGGGAACAGCATGCGAACCCTGCCACAGAGGCTTTCGGTGGAGGTCCCTTTGAGGCCACGAGAAGTGTGAGGGGTGTGCCGGACTGGGCGGGGAACCGCGTGTTAAGCCTGCCACGGAGGCCTTCTGTGGAGCTCCCTATGGGGCCACGAAGCGTGTGAGGGGTGTCTCCGACTGAGCGGGGAACCGCGTGCGAACCCTGCAACTGGGGCCTTGGTTGGAGCTCCCTATGGGGCCACGAAGCGTGTCAGGGGGGTGCCTGCCCGTGAAGCATGCAGGCACGACGATCGCATAATCGCCCGTGTGACGTAGGCACGGGCCAAATTTATAGATTTGCACGGCCTTCGGGCCCCTTCGGGCCGATCGGGTGTAGAGAGTTTGTGTGTGTATGCCATTTTTGGCTTCTTCGATCGTTGGCCGACAAACCGACGCAGTGTACCCATCGAGTCCCTCCGAGCATGGAGGCCCGAACTCAAACAACAAAAAACACCCCGTGAGGGCCCCGCGAGATCGGGCCACCGAGAGGGCCGCCGGCCATGCACGGGAAAAGGGGGACGGTGGAGGGCGGAGGTGCGGAAAGGGGGGGGACGGGGGAGGGCGGAAGAAGCGTCGTCGTCGTCGTCGTCGCCGCCGCCGCCGCCGCCGCCGCCGCCGCCCTCGTCGTCGCCCGCGCCGCCGCCGCCGCCGTCAACGTCATTAGTCGACGCAGTGAGGGCGGAGGAGCCGCAGCGGCCGGATCGGCACGAGGGAAGGCGGCCCACCCGCGCGCGGCGGCGGCCGTCCCTGGCGGCGTCGCTGCTGTGAGGCACCTGGGCCAGGGCCCGCCCACGCGGCTGCCGGGCCCCTCGCCTCCGAGGTCGTCGTGCGCTCGTCGAGGTCGACAACTTCGTCCACGTCGTCCAGGTCGTCGTCGTCGTCGTCGTCGTCGTCGTCGTCGTCGTCGTCGTCGTCGTCGATGTTGTCGTCGAGGTCGTCGTCTACGCCGTCCACGTCGTCGTCGTCGTGGTCGTCTCCGCCGCCGCCGCCGTCGTCGTCGTCATCGTCGTCGTCGTGGTCGAGTTCGTCGCCGCCGCCGTCGTCGCCGTCCTCATCGTCGCCCTCGTCGCCGCCGCATCCCGAGAGGCGGGAAGATGGAAATCTCGGCCCTCAGGGAAATCCGCTAATCAGAGCACGTCACCACCGGGTGCCTTCGCCCTCTGAGAGTGTGTAACAAGAGGTGCCATCACGGGGCACACACTGTGGAAGGCCTGAAACCACCTACCTCTGCAATGGGATGGGGGGGAAGCTTCGAATTGCGGCTTTTGAACCTCAGAAGAGCAGCCACATACCAGACTCATCTATCACACGCTCTGGCCTGCGGGTACAGTCCAGCCACGCGGAGCGCCGTCAGAGAAATCCGCTAATTCAGATTGATCGCCACCTGGTGAATGTACCCACCGTCTGAGAGTGTGTAACACTGGAGTCTCATCACGGGCGCCTGCGGTCCCACGCAAGAAGAACTCAATGCGTGCTGCAGGCTAGACAACCCAAGGAATCGATGGTCAGCAGAGCACTACTGGAGCATGGGTTGCGCGCGTTGCGGGACATGAAGGCACATGGAAACTTGCAACCTCCTGTCGAAGTCTTGGAACCTGTAGGCCATAGGATGGAGATCTCGGCCCTCAGAGAAATCCGCTAATCAGAGCACGTCACCACCGGGTGCTTTCGCCCTCTGAGAGTGTGTAACAAGAGGTGCCATCACCGGGCACACACTGTGGAAGGCATGACACCACCTACCTCTGCAATGGGATAGAGGGAAGCTTCGAATTGCGGCTCTTGAACCTCAGAAGAGCAACCACATTGCGAGGCGGCGATTTATCCATATCCACCGCCTGAGAACCGACGTCCTGGTGCCCCAGCGGGCGGTGGATATGGTTATATAGTTCGGCCCCCGGGGGCCCGAGTATGTCCATATCCACCGCCTGCCGAGGCTCCGAAAACTGACCCTCCAGGCGGTGGATATGTATAAATTTCCGCCTCGAACACATACCAGACTCATCTATCACACGCTCTGGCCTGCGCGTACAGTCCAGCAACGCGGAGCGCCGTCAGAGAAATCCGCTAATTCAGATTGATCGCCATCTGGTGAATGTACCCACCGTCTGAGAGTGTGTAACAATGGAGACTCATCACGGGCGCCTGCGGTCCCACGCAAGAAGAACTCAATGCGTGCTGCAGGCTAGACGACCCAAGGAATCGATGGTCAACAGAGCACTACTGGGGCATGGGTTGCGCGCTTTGCCGCACATGCAGGCACATGAAAACTTGCGACCTCCTGTCGAAGTCTTGGAACCTGTGGCCCAGAGGATGGAGATCTCGGCCCTCAGAGAAATCCGCTAATGAGAGCACGTCACCACTGGGTGCCTTCGCCCTCTGAGAGTGTGTAACAAGAGGTACCATCACCGGGCACACACTGTGGAAGGCATGACACCACCTACCTCTGCAATTGGATGGGGGGGAGGCTTCGAATTGCGGCTTTTGAACCTCAGAAGAGCAGCCACATACCAGACTCATCTATTACACGCTCTGGCCTGCGGGTACAGTCCAGCAACGCGGAGCGCCGTCAGAGAAATCCGCTAATTCAGCTTGATCGCCACCTGGTGAATGTACCCACCGTCTGAGAGTGTGTAACACTGGAGTCTCATCACGGGCGCCTGCGGTCCCACGCAAGAAGAACTCAATGCGTGCTGCAGGCTAGACGACCCAAGGAATCGATGGTCAACAGAGCACTACTGGGGCATGGGTTGCGCGCTTTGCCGCGCATGAAGGCACATGAAAACTTGCAACCGCCTGGCGAAGAAGAGCTCAATGCGTGCTGCAGGCTAGACGACCCAAGCAATCGATGTATTCACGCTCTGAGAATGTGTGAGAAAAGGTGCCATCACAGGGCACTCACTCAACAAGGCATGACTGAACCAACAGTCGTAACGCAATGGACGGAAGCTTCGAATGGCGGGCTTGTGTTCGCACACGACTGAAAAACATCATACAAGTCTCTCCAACGCTCTCGCCTGCGGGTCTAATCCAACAACGCGGAGCGCCGTCAGAGAAATCCGCTAATTCAAATGGATCGCCACCTGGTGAATGTATCCACTGTCTGAGAGTGTGTAACAATGGAGTCTCATCACGGGCGCTCGCATTCCCGAGCGAGACCAACATTATGCATGCTGCAGGCCATCCGACCAAAGGGATCGATGGTCAGAATAGCACAACTGCAGCATGGGGAACGTAGAATCGCAGGATGATTTCTACTGCAAATAACGCCACGCGGACAATCTGCGACATCCTGCCAACGCCTTGGAACATGAAAGACGGAACTGTCAACCCTCAGAGAAATCCGCTAATCAAATCACGCCACCACCAAGTGCCTTCACCATCTGAGAAGGTGTGACAAAAGGTACCGTCACTGAGCACGCACTGTACAAGGCATGACACCTACCTCTGCAATGCGTTCGTTAAAAACTTCGAACGGCTGGCTTCTATTCGGAAGCACAGCCACATAACAGACTCATCTCTCACACGCTCTGGCCTGCGGGTCTAATCCAACAACGCGGACCGCCGTCAGAGAAATCCGCAAATTCAGATTGATCGCCACCTGGTGAATGTATCCACCGTCTGGGTATGTAACAATAGGGTCTCATCACGGGCGCTTGCATTCCCTCGCGAGACCCACATTTTGCGTGCTACAGGCTCGAGGGCCCAAGGAATCGATGATCAGCTGAGCACTACTGCAGCATGGGGTGCGCAGGATCGCAGGCCGAACATTTGCGACCTCCTGCCGGTGCCTTGGGCCTTGAAGCATGAAAGATAAAATCATCAACCATCAAAAAATTCTGAACACGCCACCACAAGGTGCCTTCACCCGCTAAGCGTGTGTAGCACAGGGTGCCATCACCAGGCATGCACATGTTCCACCAACCTCTGCAATGCTCATTTCTCGCACGCTCTGGCCCAACGCGGAGCGCCGTCAGAGAAGTCCGCTAATTCAGATTGATCACCACCTGGTGAATGTTTCCACCCTCTGAGAGCGCGTCACAATGGAATTTCATCACGTCACGGGCACCTGCAATCCCACGCAAGACATGCATGATGCGTGCTGCAGACAGGACGACCATCCGCCGGCCCTCTGGGGAGCCAACGGGCTGCGAGGACTAGGCTGCCCTGTTCCCGGCGACACATGCAGTGCCCAACATAGTCATCGATCTTATCTCTTCTGGCCGATGACTGAAGTCCGCGCGAAGATGCAAGCACAGAGGGCCCAGCTCCCCTTCCAGAATAGGGTTCTCAGAATTGCTTGGGCTGCCCTGGGGTACGACATACCAGAAATCTGCGCTCTCGAGGCCAACTTGCAACGGACGCACCCACAAGACGGTCGAAGAGGGCCCCGAGTCGCTGAGCGATCGCTCCAAGACGCCCCCAGACGGCCCAAGAGGCCTCAGAGACGCCCCAAGAAGCCTACAAGAGGCCTCCAAAGAGGACCTCAAAAAGCGAAAATGATTAATTTTCCACAGCAGTTGTTTGAAAGATTCTGGCGTTCTCGCCGTTTCGGCTTCCCGACGCTCCCAGACGGCCCTAGAGGCCCCCAAGGCCGCCCCAAAACGGCCCAAGAGGCTTCCAAGAGGACCCCAAAACTGCCCACGAGAACCCTAAGACTGCCAACGAGGTGCCCAAAACGCCCAAGAAGGGAGCCCCAGAGAGGGACGACGAAGCGAAAACCCGAGCCTTCCGCCCCAAGAGGCCCGCCAGGAGGCCCCAAGAGGCGCCCAGGAGGCCCCCAACGGGCCTCAAGAGGCCCCCAAGAGGCGCACAAGAGAACGCAAGAGGCCTCGACACGGCCCCCAAGAGGTCTCCAAAGTGCCTTCAAGAGGCCCCCCCACGAGATCCCAACGAACATCCAATCGGCGTCATACCCACAACCAAGGCACGCTGGCGGGATGGGCCGAAGTCCATCAAATCCGCCGCCCCCTGTTGGCTTGCCATAGGGGTGGCTGGCGCGCCAGACTTCAGGTGTTTGGTTCTTTTAGCATTCGGGGCTTCGGCCGATGCCGCCAGCCACCCGAAAAAAGCTGGGTTCGAGGTGGTTGCAAAGGTATGTTCTGCTCCAGATGGCCCCCAGATGGCCCAAGATGGCCTCCAAGACGGCCAAGATGGCTTCTAAGCTCGCCCACGATCGTGCAAGGTAGCCTGCAAGACGACCCAATAATGTCCAAGATGTCGCCAAGTTCGCCCAAGAAGCCTCCAAGACGGCCCAAGACGGCTGCAGAGGCCCCCCAAGAGGCCTCCAAGACGGCCCAAGAGGCCCCCATAAGGCCCTCCAGGAGGGCCCGAAGAGGCCGAGATCGTTGATGTTTTTTTGCTTCGGAATAAAAACTGAGGTGGGAAGGTGTTTCTTTTCGACCTTCGGACGGCCCAACACGCTCCCCCTCCCCCCCCAGATCGCCCAAGAGGCATCCAAAATGGCCCCAGGACGGCACACGAAGCCAACGAGCCGGCTCAGATGGGGGCCCGCGAAGGCCCAGGAGGCCCTCCATGACTGCCAAGATGGCCTCCGAAAGGTCCCGAACACGCCTCCAACGGGCCCCAAGACGGTCCACAGAGGCCTCTAAAACGCCTCCCGACGGCATCAGACGGCCCAGGAAAACCCTAAGACGGCCAAAAGGGCCGCCCCGAACAACCCCAAGAGGCCCCCCAAAAGGCCGAAGGAGGCCCCAAACATGCCTCCAAGAGGTTCCCACGAAGTTCCCAGGCGACCCAAAGTATGCCCCAAGAGGCTGCCCATAGATCTATTCCTCTTGCTTCTCTTCCTCCATTTCCTCCGCCTCCTCTCCTCCTCTTCCTCCTCCTCTTCCTCCTCCTCCTCCTGTTCCTGCTCCTGCTCCTGCTCCTGCTTCTGCTCCTGCTCGTGCTACTGCTCCTGCTCCTGCTCCTGCACCTGCTCGTGCTCCTCCTCCTCCTCCTCCTCCTCCTCCTCCTCCCTCATGTTCCCCCTCCTCCTCCTCCTCCTCCTCCTTCTCCTGCTCCTCGTCCTCCTCCTCCTCATTTTCCCCCTCCGCCTACTTTTCTCCCTCCTCCACCTCGTTCTCTCTTCCTCCCTCACCAGCCTCCTCCTCCTCATCATCTTCTTATTGATAGTAGTATTCGTATGATTAGGATTATTATTGTTATTCCTCCTCCTCCTCGTCGACCTTTCTCGACTTTCTTCTCCTCCTGGTCCGCTGTCTCACATGTTCCCCGAAAAAGGTTTCAACGACGGCTGCGGGAAAACCATAGTCCGATAGCTTGGCCAAGCCCTAGCCTTTAGCCCAATGTTCGGCCACATAGGCGCTTCCAAAGAGGCAGGAGGCAGCGGTGACTCGCCGTGGGCGTCTTCGAATTACACAAAGCTCCCGAAGACACAATCGCCGGTAAAAGGCGGCACACGTGCGTTCCCGATGCCACAATCGCTCAATTACCCTGCGACGTACCCAATCTCATCTGCGCGAAGTGAGAGGAGGAGCGGATGCAGAATCGTATGGCCGACGACAACACGGGATCTGTCATTCGTTGTGTAAGTTCGTCGGGAAACGCGCGCGCGTTGCACGATTCACAAGACAACACGAGCTCGCCCGCCAGATGTCCCGCTTCCTTGTGTCAGCAGGTGCGCCGCCAGGTCTTCGGGCAGCCCGCGGGAAGGACATCAAGGCTCCTCGCCATCCGCGTAGGGCGACGCTCTGCTGGACCCCCATCAGCAGCCCTCTAAGGTGGCGACGGTTTCGCAGTTCGAAGCCCGACACGGACGGCGAGGTCGAATCTGAATACGCGTAGCACGTCACGCCGGTGGACCCCCAGCAACCTTCGAAACTGCCGACGGTTTCGCAATTCGAAACCACGCATGGGGGGGCGAGGTCGAAATTGAATCCGAGTCGCTGAAGCTTCCAGCAGCCCTCGTAAGTGGCGACGGTTTTGCAGTTCGCAGCCGACGCATGTGGCGAGGTCTAGTCTGCATCTGAGTAGCACGTCACTCCGCTGGACCCCCCTACCAGCCTTCGAAAGTGGCGACGGGTCTCGCAGATCGCAGCCCCCAGAGATGGCGGGGTCGAATCTGAATCTGCGTAGCACGTCACTTCGCTGGACACCCCAGCCTCCCTCGAAAGTGGCGGCGTCGCAGCTTGCAGCCCCACAAGGATGGCAAGGCCCAATCGAAATCTGCGAAGCATGTCACTCCGCTGGACACCCCACCAGTCTTCGAAAGTGGCGACGGTTTCGCAGTTCGCGTCCCCCAGGGATGGCAGGTTCTCATCTGAATCTGCGTAGCACGTTACTCCGCTGGACCCTCCAGCAGCCCTCAAACGCGGCGACGGTTTCTTAGATCGCAGCCCCCCAGGGATGGCGAGGTCTAGTCTGAATCTGCATAGCACGCTACTCCGCTGGAAGCCCCCACCAGCCCTCGCAGGATACACGGAGTCGAAGTTCGCAGCCTCCAGGGATGGCGAGGTCTACTGTGAAGTTACGCAGCATGTCACTCCGCTGGACCCCCAGCCGCCCTCGACAATAGCGACGGTTTCACAGTTTGCAGCCCCCAAGGGATGGACAGGTCGAATCTAAATCTGCGTAAGACCCCCCCTATGCTGGGCCCCTCCCCAGCAGCCCTCGAACGTGGCGACGGATTCGCAGATCGAAGCCCCTCAGGGATGGCGAAGCCTAATCTGAATCTGCGTAAGACGTCACTCCTCTGGAGCCCCCAACAATCCTCGAAAGTGGCGAAAAAATCGCAGATCGCGGCCCCTCCCCTCAGAGATGGCGAGGTTCCGCCCTGCATAGCACCGCACCAAGCTTGCTCTGCCAGCGACTCCTGAAAGTGGCGACGCTTTCGCAGATCGCAGCCCCGCAGGGATGGCGAGGTCAAATCTGCATCTGGGTAGGGCTGCCCCCCCCCCGGGGCAGCCCTCGAGAGTTGCGACCGTTTCGCAGCTCGCAGCCCCCCAGGGATGGCGAGGTCTACCCTGAACCTGGCTAGGGCCGCCATTGTGGTGGCGGGCCACCCAACCAGCCTTCGAAACTGGCGACCGGCTCGCAGGTCGCAGCCCCCCAGGGATGGCGACGTCTCACCCGAATCTGCGCAGGGCCCCGCCATACTGCCCCCCGCAGAGGCCATCGGAAGTGGCAACCGTTTCGCAGATCGCAGCCCCCCATGGATGGCGAAGTCTGATATGAATCTGGGCGGGGGCCATGATGCCGCCCCCAACTCCAGCAGTCATCGGAAGTCGCGACAGCTTCGCAGATCAACCCCCAAGGGATGGCGAGGT